GGAAAAACATCCCAAAACTCAGGAAAATCTTCATGGCCTCTCCAGATGCCAGCAAGACTTTCACCACTGCAATGGCCAGTAGCCCAGGGGAGGTGGTGGCCAAGCTCTGGGCATTGAAGGGGAAAGAGAAGAGTTTATTTTAGGCTGAGGACTGATGAGATGAAAGCCATTGATCCCAGCTCGTAATTACATTGTTATCTCTGCCCTGGGAGATAAAGAGATTTCTCCTTGCTGGCTTTTGGAAAAGCTGGGCTGGAAAGCGGATAGAGAAGGGATTTATTTATTTGAGCTACTCTTTTTTAAGTGAAATATTAAAGAGGGAAAACTTGGGTTTTTTTAATTTCACTTTTTTTCCCCCAGGAGATGGGAAGCCAGGGAAGGTTTCTGTCCTGCTCAGTGCGCTCCTGATTCCCCAGGATCAGGCAGGAGATGAGGAAAGCTCCATAACACGGAATTTTTAATGAATTATCCCACATGAGGTAATCAGAAATCAGCACTGCGGGGCATGGGTTGGGTCACTGGGTGCTGCTGTGACCTCCTGGAGCCACGGGAGCCTTGTGGCCACTTGGCCACACTGGAGTGGAACAAGAGCCCAAGGCTTTGCCAACACCTCCATCCCGTGGCTTTTCTCCAGGGATGGTCCTGGCCCCTCTCCCAGATCAGCCAAGGACCTGCCTCGGGTCCTGGCAGCTCCTGAAGGAGCTGCTGCCATCCCCATTTCCCAGCCCCCCGGGATGAAGAGCAAACTGGAATTGATTTCCCAAATTCCTGTAAATTCCTGCTCCTGACTGGCCTGGCCAGAACTGGGATGAGAATCCATTGATTGCTCCAAAGGTCCAAATCCAATCAGCACATGAGGAAAGTGGCTGGAAGAGTGGAATGGTTCAGATGTGCTGAGATGGAATTAAAATCGGGAAGCCAGGAGATGCAAAGGATGGTCCTGAACAAGCCCAATTTGCAATCCAAGGACTTTCTTTCTGGAGGGGCCGAGAAGAAAATGGGAGGAGAAATAGAGGGAATAAAGGATCCTCTCTTATTCCCATGGATTTGCACGGAATCCCTCTTTGGAATCATTTTCCATTCAGGAATTCACAACCAACCACGGCTGGTGCTGCCTCAGCACCTTCATCCCAGAGAATCCTCATCCCAGTCTTCCTCTGGAACTGGGTGCTCTCTCTGCTGGCACCTCTTGGATTGGATTTCTTGGCTGGGAGGTCTCGGATGGGACTGGAATTCCTCCACTGGGATTTCTCTGCTGGCCAGGAAATGAAAAAGAGGAGGAAAAAATCAATGAGAAGAACTCAACTCTGGAAAACAAAAGCAATTAAAAGAAGGTAAAGCTCAATTTTAAGGCTGCTGGACTTCCCTGGGAATGTTTTTCCCAGAGGACAAAGCCTCAACTCATCCCTGCCTCTGAAGGTTTGGAAGAGAAGCAGATTAGGAGCGGATTGCCCCCCCCAGATTCCCAAATTCCTGGGAATAGCGGGACATCCTCCGGGCCCCTCCCATCCCTGGAGCTGCAGTGACATCTGCTGCTGTCCCTGGGCATCGCCACCGGCCCGCTCCCCATCCGAGGGGCGATGTCACCACCCGGGGCTCCCCGGGGCCACCGCCAGCCCTGACCAGGGAACCGAGCCTAAAAACTCCCCAGTAACAGGAAATAAAAGGAAATAATAGAAGGAAATAAAAGGAATTTTAAAAGGAAATAAAAGGAGGAAATAAGACAAGGAAATAGAAGGAAATAATAGAAAGTAATAGAAGGAAATAGAAGGAAATAGAAGCAAATAATAGAAAGAAATAGAAGGAAAGAAATAGAAAGAAATAGAACTAAAAAATAGAAGGAAACAGAAGGAAATAGAAGGAAATAAATAGAAATAGAAGGAAATAGAAAGAAATAGAACGAAATAGAACAAAATAATAGAAGGAAGTAGAAGGAAATAAATAGAAAGAAATAGAACGAAATAATAGGAGGAAACAGAAGGAAATAGAAGGAAATAGAAGAAAATAAATAGAAGGAAATAGAAGGAAATAATAGAAGGCAATAACAGAAGGAAATATAAGGGGGGAAAAGGAAATAAATAGAAGGGAATAAAAGGAAATAAATGTGAATAAAAGGAAATAAATAGAAGGGAATAAAAGGAAATAAAAGGAAATCTTGCTTGGTTGGAGCAGCAGCACAAGGGGAGCTGCCACCACCCGAGGGAGCAGCTCCTGCTCCCCAAACTGGAGAAGGAAAAAAAAAAATCTCCCACCCTTGTTCCTGCCTTTCCTCAGGGCATTCAGCCCCAGGCACCAAGGTCATGGATGGTTTAAACCTGCACAATTTTATACCCAGGATATTCCCAAACCCAGGAATTCCTGTTACCCCCTGGGAGGATCCAGGATCTCTCCCCCACCCACCCCAAACTCCTCAACATCTCAAACCCAGCTCAATTCCAGCAGCCCCAACCCACCAGGAATTCCCAGAACCAGGCCCCTCTGCCCACCCCACGAGGTTCCTGTTCCCACAGGGAAGGAAAGAAGCCAAAATCCCATTTTTTTTTTGGTTTTTTTTGTTCTTTTCCAATAGTCTCACTTTATTTAGATACCACATCAAGAGAGGATGTTGTGCTGCATGCAGCGGAAGACTGGAGGATTTCTAATTCCTGTGTAACGTTTTCTTTTTCTCTTAACAGTTGTAAACTGATATTTGGCTGTAAAATCACTGCATGCGAGTCTGAATGCAAACAGCAGTAGAAGAGGCTTTTCATTTTCTTTTTTTGCTTTTTTTTTTTTTTGTTTGTTTGTTTGTTTTTCACCATTCCCAATCCATAGGTGCATGCTTTATTTACAACAAAAAGAAGTCATTCAGGGCAGGAATTACCATCAGAAAAACTGAGAAGAGGGCTGGGGGGGGGCCAGAGACCAGGGCCGTGGTTTTGCACAATACTGAGGAGATTGGCAAGTTGCACTTGATTTTTGGAGGTGCAAAGAGATGATCTGAGTATCCTTTTCCCAAAGAAAGCAGGCTGAACAGGGAATGGGAATACAGGACAGGGTAAGGGTAACCTTAACTGAGTTGTTCTGCACATACAAAGGAGGCTGGGCTGCTGCAGGACTGGGAGAAATTAAGGAATTGCTTCAATAATGAGTTTTAAAGGTTTTTTTTTTTACCCTCAGCCACACATTTCCTCAGCACAGCTCGGTGCTCAAATGCTGCTCTGGGTGTGAACAGGAATGTTTGGGCCAGGTCCATCCCTCTGGAAAGGATGGTGGCAGCTTAGAGTCATTAATGTTGAAAAAGGGAGAGTCCAACCATTGATCCTGGATCCCACAGCTCACCTGGGCTTGGAGCAGGGAGAATTCAGCACAGAGTGCAGAGAGAAACTGGCCAAAAGAAAGAATTGTTTCAGAGTGGCTCAGGGATGTCACACTGACTGGCACAGAGGCAAGAATTCCATGAAAAAGGGGAAAATTTCCAGGTGTCCTCTTCCATTGCACCCCTCTGTTCACCAAGCCACAAACCCAATCCCGGGATGGAGCCTGGGGTGATGGAAGAGGATTCCCAGCTCTGGCTGGACCCTCTGGGTTGGCTTTTCCCACCTGGAAATCCAAGGAGAGGGGAGCCTGTGTCAGGCTGGGCCAGCTCAGCACCGAGGGGTTTGTGTCACCCAGGGCTGGGGACACTCAGGGACACATCAGCAATTTCTGGGAGGGAAATAAAGAAAATATCAGGAGAACAAAACTCATGCAAGAGCTGCAGCAGAGGGTGCAGGGGGAGGTTTCACACACAACATGCGCAGCGTGACAAAAAATTCCAAATATTCCACAGTGCTTTGTGTGCTCCTGTCCACAGGGATGTGCTTGGGGTTTTCCAGAGCCAAGGAATGGTTCCAGAGCCAGGGAATGGTTGCACTGCCCAGCAGCAGCAGCTGCAGAGTTTTTGCTCTCCAGGCAGCTCCAGGCCATCCTTAAAGCATAGGCTGAGGAAAATTTTGTGCAGAAAAATCGGGAAAAATGAAAGAAAACCAAACCAAAACAACCCCGCTTTGGAGGATCTCGCACTGCTCCAGCTAATTCCAGGAGTTGGGCTGGTTTAAAGCAATAATCCTTGTACACATCATGGCCTGGGGGGAAGTAGCAGCTTCCTCAGCTTTCCTCCTGAGGAACAGCAAAATCCTTGGGAGCAGGAGGGGTCTGAGGGGATCCAGGGATTGCCTTCAGTCACAACTACACAGCTCAGAGCTGAAGAGGAGGTAGTCACAACCCTAAAACACAGCTGGGGCTCCCGGAGCAGAGGAGCCCCCGAATTCCTCGGGCGAAGGAACCAACCCAAACCTGCTTCCCTGCGAGCACACAGCTCCCCAAACCCTCCTTGTCGCTGTCACTGTGTTGGTGGTGGATCTTCTCGGCAAAAGGACGTGCCACAACATTGCTCAGGTGGGCCAGAGCAGAGGTGAAGCTCAAGCAGGACTCGCAGGATGACGCTGGTGACACCGGGTTTGGCCTGACCACGACGACAAGGACACCAGGCGACGGTGACACCCACACCAAAGCTTTTTTTTTTTTTTTTTTTTCTCGTTATTGCAACTGAGGTATTGAGATCACACAAGCAGGACAGGCTGGTGCTCGCCAGCCCAGCGCTCCCATCTCCAGCTGGAGAGGAGGCTGGAGGGACACAGAGCGTCAGAAACGCGACGGGAACGCTGCCACGGGGACCAGGGAGAGAGAGAGAGAGAGAGAGAGAGAGGGGGAGGGGAACAGTCAGGAGGGAACTATTGCTTGCCAAAATTACACACCAGGAGAACTCAACGGCCTCCCTCCCCCAGCTGAAAAATAAATAAGGGGGAATAGAAAAGATCTTGGGGGAGTTTTCAGTGGAGGGGAGGATGGAGGACCCTGGGATCAGAGGCTGTAGCAAGGCGTGGCTGCGCTGGAAGACGGGACACCAGGGACATCGGGGACATCGGGGACCTACAGGGGTGTGGCAGAGGGTGGGGAGGGCCGGGCAGAGGCTCCCTTTAATCGCTGGCCACGTGGTTCTCGTTCTGCAGGGTGTGCCAGCGCTCGATCTTCTTGTCCTTGTTCTTCAAACACTCGTACCAGTGTTTCAAGCGCTCGCCCTTGGCCGTGATTCCCAGCTGGCAACCGCCTGGGAAAAGGGGAGAAGAGAAGATTTTGTATCCAGAGGTGATGCTGATGTTCCAGGAAATCCCACCATGGGGACGCACCTCACACCCTGCAATGCTTTTTCCCACCTCCTGGATTTAAAAAAACGAATGGAAACGCCTGGAGATGCTTTTCCTGCCCGGAATACATTCCAGGATGTTGGAGGTGGGGCAGTGTGGGATGCACCCATCCCATTCCACCATCTCACCTGGGCAGGTGACCCAGGCTCCTCTCCCATCCAACAAACCCCGTACGAGGCTCCAAACCGCTGCCCCCCGAGGGCAGAGACCTGCAGCTCATCACTCACCGATGTAGTCATTGGATTTTCCGATGTCGTAATCCCAGACAGAAATGTCCAGGGATTTCTTGGCCAGGTCGGCGTGTTTGATGTCATAGAAGAACTCCTGCAGAAATGGGAACACTCACATCACACCCCAAAGGAAGACACACCCTAAAAGCTGCATTTAAAAGGGTTGGACCTAGATTCAAAATCCAAGGAAAGGATGGTTAAAATATAATTAATGAAGGAAAAAACGCTCCTTCCCTCTGGCACCTCTTTTCCAGGAGCTGAGCTCACCCCTTGCACCTACCCTTGCCCTTTCCAGGTGTCCAAAAAGCAGCACCAGCGGAAAATTTTCAATTTCCACCCCCAGGAATGCTCATCCCACCCACATCCCCAGCTGGGATGACATGGAGCCAAGCAGCAGGGAGCTTTCAAGGGTGTGTGGTGCTGCCATGGCAAAGACATTCCCAAAATATTCCTGGGCACAGGAGTGGGAAAGGAGCTTTAGCAAAGAACCAAACCTCGGGGAGTTTGTCTTCCACCTCCTCCACTCAACACAGTATTCAGTGAATTGATTTAATAATATTAAAAATATCCATCCATACCTCGTTAAACTCAGGATTCAATGTTTTCTTCTTAATCTGTGTCTTGTGCTTGGCCTTTTTTCCCATGTCAGGTTTCAGCCAACTAGGGGCAACAGAAAACAGCTCAAAATTCAAGTGCAAGAACAGTGGGAGTTTATAAGCTTAAAAAGTGAGTTTCTGGGCTGGAAGAGATTTATTTAGGGCCAGTCTCCCTTCCCACCTTCCAGAGGATGTGGGAAAAGTGTGGGGCTGGGGCTGTGCAGCCTGACTGCGGATCCAGAACTCAATTTAGGGCTGGGATTGATTCGATCTCTGTTAGAAGCTGATTTAAAAATGTAAAGCCACCATCTTCTGTTTGTGGAAATGGAGAATACAACAAATAGAGGGAAGGGAAACTGCTCAGTTCCACTGAGCTACAAAGACATGAGTAGAATATGTTCAACATGAGAGTTACTGAATGGGTTTTAGGGAGAACAGAGGTTTTTTTCTGAAGGCAAAGGGGAAAAAAAAAAACCAGGAGCAAAACCCCCACCAGGAATGGCTGCAGGGACCTGTCCGTGGTGCAGCTCATGAAGTTGGAATAAAAACCTTGTTCCCACACATTCCCACGGGGGTTTATGGGGCAGCAAGTGGGGCACAGAGGGACACAGAGCCACCTCTGTCCTGCACCAGGGTGGGTCAGAGGTGAAGGAAAGGACTCGGTGTCCCTGGACTCCCAACACACCCTTAATGAGTCATGGGTGGGAATCCCACTCCTGTGGATCCCGGAGAAGTTTTGGGGCTGCAGCCCCAAACCCACCCCCACATCCCTCACACATCCTTGGCTTGCAGGCATCAGGTGATCAGACAAAGGCTGGACTCCTGATTTCCAACCTTTAACAATTCTGGGCTTCCCCATGAGGTAACCACAGGACATTTGGGGAGTGACAGACCCAAAGGCTGGGTCAGCACTCCAGAGCTGCACCCACAACGGGGACACCACTGCTGCTGGCCAGCTCCTGCAGTGCCAGGGCTCCTGAGGACAGCAGGTGGCTTCCATGGCCAGCCTGGAGCCATTCTTGGCTCACTCACAGCTTGACAAAGGGATCCGAGTATCCATTGGCATCCATGGCCGCCAGGTGCACGCAGCGCACGATGCCCACGATGAGCCCGCCCTGCTGCGTGCTGTACATGAGCGACACCAGGATCTTGCCACGCTCCTCCACATCCCCACCACGATCCACCTGCAGGGGGGAGCCGGGACAGGAAAACTCAGCGGAGGAGCAGGAGGGACGGGATGGATATCGGGGAATGGGATGGAGGGAGCCGGGACAGGAAAACTCAGCGGAGGAGCTGAGATGGGGGATTAAAGAGTGAGGAATAGTTCATCAAAATTAACTAACCAAGGCAATGAGGAATGCCTGACATTTACCGTGCTGGCAAAAATCGGGTGGAAAGGCAGACTGGTTTGTGATAAAGGGAGCCAGAACTTGCAAACAGGGTGAAGGGTGCAAGGCTACCAGTGGTAAGTGATAAATACAAAATCTTAAACCAGCAAGAACTAATCTCAAGGTCTGGAATGTGCCCAAAAGGCTCATGCTCTGGAGACAACGTTGAAAAGTTCAAGTGCAATGAAGAGTTTGGAAGAGAGCCCCGAACTGGGGAGGCGACAGCACAAAAGGATTTTTGGTTCATTTTAATACGAAGCGAGGGTAGGCGGGACTAGGCGGGGCTAGGACATGAATATGTATTAGGTGTATTGTGTAATCCTTGGCTTTTAGGGACTAATTAGAGCAATATTTGAAGTTTCGGGGTGCATGCTTTGGGAGGAGCTAGCGCCTCAGCGCTGAATAAATGCACACCTACTTTATAACTCTCATTTCCTAGGAGTTATAGAGTCAGAGCAGGAGGGATGGGATGGATATCAGGGAATGGGATTGGGGGATAATGGGGTTGTACACATGGATGGAGCTTGTCCTGCTCCCAGGACTCACCTCCTCTTCGTACAGAGCCATCCCACGGGACGCCCCGGTTGTTCCGGTGCGCTTTGTCTGGGATGGGAAAGGATAAAGAGACTGCCGTGAATGGCCAGGAGAGGCACCATGCCACAGCAAAAAAAAAAATCTGGGAATGCGCTGCACTCTGGAGTGTCCATCTGCTCCATAACCCCCACCCCAGCAGATTCCACAGGGGACACAGCAACCTGTCCCCTCCTGCATGGTGACATCCATCCAACAGGAGCAGTCCCTGGAGTCACTTCCCATGGATTCCCACCACGCTCTGATCTCCTGGCCTTGGGATGGCACCTCGGGCACAGGTGGGAATCCAACTCCTAAAGGTGCCAGGGAAATCAGGCACCTCCAGCCCGTCCCTGCATCCCTCAGGGCCATTTGTCTGCAATCCCAACGGGAACCAAAGGGATTTTCACGGGCACTCACTGGGATTACTCTCTCCAGGCAGATGTTGAAGTTCTTTTTCTGGTTGGCTTTGAGTTTTTTCAAGGCAACTCTGGTTTCTCCGATAAATTCGTTGTGGCCGAATTTGTCCTCGTCACACACGGAGATCCTGGAGGGAAGAGGGAAAGGGGAACATCAACCAAGGGCACTGGAAAAGCAAAGAAAAGTCCCCCCCCAAACCCACCCTTGATCTGGATTTCCTCTGACCAAAAGCAGTCAAATTTCTAGCTTAAAAAGAAAAAAAAAAAAAGTAAAAAAATCAACATTTTTAATATTTGCTTTATGATGTTGCAAGAAATCAAGAGATGGAAGTTTCCTGAGGGGGGAAAGAATCATAAATTTTGAGAGATATTTATAGGGACTTTTTAATCTGAGCTATTGTCAAATCAGCAGAGATGCACATCTCTATAATGATAAAAATTATAATCAATAACTTACTATTAAATGACAAGGTCAAAATACCAGTTTTCCTCTCTTATTAAAAAAACATCCGAACGAGCAAATTCACGTTGACTTTAACTCAAAACTGCATTTCCAGCCCCGCTGCACTCCTGGGGGTGATGCTGTGAGTGAGGACACCCAAAACCTCATCCCGCCCTTCTGTGGGATCCCTGGGCTCCTGCTGCAGGGTTTTGTCTCCTTGCCTGAGGGTTTTCCTCTGCATGTCCTCGTCGGTGATGCCGTGGTACACCAGGGTCTCGTTCCACACGGGGTTCCGGGTGTTGCGCAGCGTCTTCGTCCTCAGCTTGTTCGACTGTGGGGGGTCAAAGAAACCCACAGGAATTCCACCCCAGGATCCCTCCCTCCCTGCCCAAATCCCAGCTCCTGGCAGATCACATCTGGCACATCTGGGTGATGGTGAGCCAGCGATTCCAGGGGAGCATCAAAGTGGAATTTTGCAAAGGTGGTGGCGGGGAGAGCCTGGATTTTGTCACTCCTTGGGGTTTGTTCCCTCAAGGAGAGGGGAAAAGGTGCCCAGGGCAGGGGCATGGTCTAAAGGAGGTGACAGGGAATTGAGGAGCTGTCACTTCCTTGTCTTTCACAACTGCACATTCAAAGTTTTAAAAAGTATCAGCAAATGAGAGCAACAGAAATCAAAGCAATTCTCATCACACTCAGATTTCCTCCAAACCCAGGAATCCCCCGTGCATAAAGCAAAGCTGTAAAATCAATCCAGTGATTTTATTATCAGTTTTCCCCTGGTTTTACTCCTGGTTCCTCTGAGCAAAACTCTGCTGCACCCTCTAAGCAAAGAGCCAGCACTGCTGGTGGTCATTCCTTCCTCAAGATTTGCCCACCAAGATCAGCTCTGGGGCTGGGGGGGGGAGATTTCCAGGAATTCCCATGATGGAACCAGAATTTCCCCCATGGTTCTCTCCCCACAGCCCCAACAAGAACGTGCTGCAGGGTTGGATAATTCCAACGCTGGCCATAATTAGATTTTTTGCCAGATGTTTTGTGGTGCATTAACAGCAATGCCTCCTCTGGAGCTTCCCTCCATCCCTGAGCAGATTCCTGCCTGCAGGATGAGCTGTTCCTCAGCTCTGGGAGAGCATCTGGGAGCACCATCCCTGTTTGGAGAAAGCCCCGGGGGAAACAGCAGCGAGCAGAGAAATCAACAGGAAAATCTGATCCGAGGGAGGGACCTGAGGGGGATTTGAGAAACCTCTGCTCCATCCCCAGCACCGAACCTGGCAAAGCCTCACCTTGCTGGCTCCAGGCAGGAGGTGCAGCTTCACATAGGGATCAGCCAGGCCGTTGGAATCCATTGGTTTTAAGCCCTGAAAAAAGGTAAAGGAAACACAGGACGTGAATCTTTGCCTTCAGAGGCAAGGAAGAGAAAAAGCTGCCTGTGAAAAACTCAGAGAAAATGTGTTCAGTGACCCAAGAGCCTCTGCCCTGAGCGGCTGTGAGTGCCAGGATGTGCTGAAACATCCAACCCACCCCTGGAAAAATCAGAATTGTAGAATCACAAGACGGTTTGGCTTGGAAGAGACCTCAAATATCACCAAGTTCCACCTCCTGCCACGAGCAAGGACATTTTCCAATACCCCAGGTTGTTCCAAACCCTGTCCAACCTGGCCTTGGACACTTGCAGGGATGAGGCAGCCACAGTTTCCCAGGGAGGACTCTTCCAGGGCATCACAGATCTCTTGGATCCACACAAGAAAAAACACCCCATGTTGGGGTCTCCCAAGGGAGCAGCCTCTGCCAGCAGCCACAGGGCTTCCATCCCATTGTACCAGAGAAACTGGGAGCCAGATGGATTTAAATCAGGGGAAAAGGGGGGAAAAAAGAGGAGCTCTTGCCTTGGCCTTGATGAGGGTGCAGTGCAGGGAGCTGTTGTCCTGGTCGTAGAGCAGGCTGAACTCCAGAGCTCCCAGTGTGGCTGACAGCAAAGGAGGAGGAGGAGGAAACAACCTCGTTAAAACCCCAGCCAATAACTGCATTTAATCATCCCCGATTAGTAATAATTAGAAAGATTTGCGGGTCAAATGTAAAAGCTGTTTAATGCAGTGAGAGTGTGCTGGCAGTGGCCAAACTGCCACAAATCCAGGCGGATTCAGGAGCTGTGCACAGCTCTGCAGAGCAGGCACTGCCCAGGGAGAGCAGCCTGGCGCTTTGGAGCTGTCTCCAATATTCACCAGGCAGACGATGAACCCAACCAACCCTTCCCACCGCAATTCCAGCCTGGAGCGCCCTGAGGAGATGCTCCAGCTCGGGACAGCACCTCCTCCCAAGGCTGGGGCTTATTGGAAACCAGCTCAGGCTCGTGTTCCTTCATCCCAGGGATGAAGAGCAGGCACAGAGGGCATCAGCTGCTCCAACCCAAGCACCTCTTCCCTGCCCCGAGCAGGGAACACCCAGGATGTTCTACCACAGATCCTCTCCCTCAAATCCCCGCCCCAGCTCCAAGCCCCGCATTCCCCAAGAACTTTCCGTGCTGGAGAGCCACCATGCGAGTCACACCCGCCCAGGAACCCCCAAATCCCACATTTCCCAAAGAAACCCCCTCCCTACCATCCCTCCCTTCCTGGGGACCTACTGCCTTCATCCGAGTCGTAGCTGTTGGCATCCTCCTCCTCTTCCTCGCGGGGCTGCTGCTGCTGCCGCTGCGGGGCCGCGGATGCCGCCGGGGGCTGTGCGGGGGCCGGGGGCTGCCAGGCCGGCCTGTCCTCCCTGCCGGGGGGCGCGGCAAAGCCCCCTCCCCGCTCCGGGGGTCCCAGCGGGGGGCTGGCTGCGGGAGGAACCCCCCGTTAGCCCCCGGCCCGCTTTGCCCCCCAGCCCCCCGCAGCCAGCCCGGGGTTACCTTGTCTGTCCGGGAAGCGAGCGGGACCCCCTGGACCCGGCCTTGCTGCTGCGGCCGCCGGCGCTGGGGACAGAGGTGGCATCACCGGGCTTGGCCCGGGACATGCCCTCGTGCCCTCTGTCACCGCGCCAAGCCCGTGGGGTGTCCCCAGGGGTGTCCTCAGGGACCGCCCTGGCTCCATTCCCATCGCATCCTACCTGCGGGTGCTGCTGCCGGGGCAGATCCACCAGCGGGAGCGGCGGTGGCCGGCGGGGGTGGCCGCTGGCCTTGCATGGAATTGGTTCTTTTCACGCCTGCAAGGACAGGGGACAATCAGCAGGGACCACCCGCAGGTGGCTCCCGGCTTTGTGTCCCCCCATGTGTCCTTGCAGGGACGCAGGAGAGCATCGCTCTCACCGGGGCTCCTGCTGACCCCGCTGTCGGCAGCGTAGTCCCGATTGTCGCTGTCCCCAGCGGTGTCCTCGCTGCCACACGGACCCGGCCGGGCCTCGGCCGCTTTGCGGCTCCCCCGGGCGGCCGCTGTGCCGTCGGTGCCTGTAAGGAGAGGGATAAAGGAGCAGTGAGGCCGGAAAAGCGAGCTGCCATGCCTGGGTGCCAGCAGCAAGGGGACAATGGGCACGGCCACTGCAGCAGGAGGGCTCTGCACCATCAAACCTGCACACAGTGCTCAGGAAATGCCCAAGGACACGAGAATCCCACGGGAAAACAATGCCTGAGGTATCCATCAGCACCCATCAAACCCCTGATGGCATCACAGCTCCACATTCCGGGGATAGGGAGAGGGGGGTGTCGTATTTTCCTTCTGCTGATCATCTCCCATTTATTAAGGGGACAACCGTGGCAGCTGCCTCTGCCTCTCCCTTCCATCACCCAGCAGGGATAAATCCCAGCCCAGCGCTCCGGGGTGATGAATTGCAACCCCACGGACGTGACGGGAAAGGTCTCGGCGCTCACCTGGCTGCTGCTGGAGACGCCAGGGATAAATCTTTGCCGTGACATAAATGGGCTGTTTCTCCTTGGCTGGGCTCTCAGGGTCACCGGGCGCGAAGGACAAAGCGGAACGCAACAGATTGTGGCGGGGAAAGGAGGAGGGAGAGAGGGAAAAACACCGGGAATGCTGAAGAGCGGGGAGGGGGGGAAATGAGCATCCAGGAGCAGGAGCCCCGTGGTGCAGAGAGAGCGGTGCAATAAATAATTTTCCAAGGGAGCTGTAGGAAAATTATGGGCACGGCAGGAGCATGCTGACCACCGGGAGGGACGTGCGGAGCTGGCAAAGCCTTCCCGGCTCCAGGATTAATAAAAGCTGCCTGTGGGGCTGCGAGGTTTAACGGCATCAGCTACGGGCGTGATTAAATCGCCTTAATTAAGTGCTTCCCCCAGCTGCTGCTGCACGAGGAGGGAGATCGTCATTTGGGGGCATCAGAGCCTAAAGGAAGGCTGGGATGGAGGGGACCATTCCAGGCAGGAACTGTCCCCTCAGCCCCTCTTTGAGCCAAGGAAGATGAAGGTTTGCAGCCACTGCGCTGCTCCCAACTTAATCATCACCCAAATGAGAAGCAGACGGTGTTGGAGGGGGATCAGGGATCCTCATCCCATGTGGAAGTGTGAAAATGGGGGCTGCTACTCCAAATGAACTCCCAGGGAGTCCTCCTCACTCTCCACATCTCCCTGACAGGAGCCATGTGGGGGTCGGGCTCTTCTCCCAGGTAAGAAGCAACAGGACAAGAGGAAATGTTCTCAGGCTATGCCTGGAGAGGTTTAGGTTGGATATGATGGAAAATTTCTTCACTAGAAGTGTTGTCCAGCACTGGCACAGCTGCCCAGGAGTCCCCACCCCTGAGGGAGGATTTAACAGCAGGGTGGATGTGGCCCTTGGGGACATGGGTCAGTGCTGGCCTTGCCAGTGCTGGAGGAATGATTGAACTCCATGGGCTTTGAGAGCTTTTCCAAGCAGAATGATTCCATGATTGGAAGTGCTGGAGGATGCAAGAAATAACCAGAACAAGCCACTGCTGCATCCCCACCCTGCTCTGCCTCCCGTGCCCGGCACAAGGTTCGGCTGCTCCATCCCCCACACACAGGCCAAGCCCCCACAAGCCTCCTAAACATTCCTCGGGAGGTTTTCCAAGGACTGCCGTTAAATAACCAGGAAAAAAAAAAAGAAAAAAAAAAAGCCCCAAAAAGCACCTGCCCCTCCCTCCCAGCAGGACCCACCACCCACGGAGGCGGCTCTGGAATGGCAGCGGCTCAGCCCCGGCGTGTGCGGGAGGTGGGGAAGCCCTGGAATAACCCGGGCATCCCCCGCAGGGTGGGCGGCAGCAGCAAGGAGAGATCCCCCTGCAGCATCCCCGGGGGAAACTGTGCGGGAAAACGCCTTGGGAATAGAAGGAGGCAGGGACGGGGCTCGGCACAGGGAGGGGACAAAGGCCGGTGCTTACCCTCGGTGTCCTCGGCATCCGCCTGGCCTTGGGGGCACAAACAGAGCGAGAGGGGGTGAAGCTGCGGCCCACGCACCCCCAACCCCATCCCGGGACACGCTGCCATGTTGCCCCAGATTTCCCTATTTTATCCATACTTTTTCAAGGCTTCTCCATCACCACGTCCCTACCCAGGCGCTGCCCAAACTCTCAGCCCAGCGCTCTGATCCCCACCCGGCGCTGCTTTGCTCCTGCATCCCCATCCATCCCCACTTGGAAATCCTGGATAAAACATTTACAGGCTCCACTGTACCCCCTTTAGGACACAGGCAGCAGCCACACGACTGCTCTGGATGCTTTTTCCCCAGAGTTTTCCCTTGCTGAGGAAGGGAAGGAGCCCCAGAGCCTCGCTGGCAGTGCTGGGGGAGCAGAACCCGCTGTCACCTACCTCGGGTGGGTGCCCGGGAGGAGATTTTGGGGTCCGGGGCGGGCGGTTCGGCCGGGCGGGGCTCGCTCGGGGTTTGGGGACCCTTCTTGCTGATGGGCATCTGCTGCGGCAGCATCTGCTTGGGCAAACCCTTGAAGAACCAGGCACCGGAGCGTTTCCACACCTGCGGGAGCAGAGTCCAACCTCTCAGAGCTTCAGCCGGCAGCTGGACGATGTGCGACCCCACATCCCCACCCTGCAGCCCATCCCGCTAATTAATTAATCAATTAACTCCCCTGGCTCACGCTGCAGCAGCCAACCTCTGCCCGTAACATCCCTTTGGACCGCCAAACCTTCATTTTCATGAATTTTGTTTTCATTTTGTGTAGAAAACAAAACCACCCTGTAAGAACCACGCTCAGACAGCGGCTGGATGGCGCTGGAGGCCCCCGGGAGGTTGAGTGGGTCCCATCTCGGAGGTGTGGGGTGGGGACAGGGGGACAGCAGGGACAGGGGGACACACGCACCTCCCGCTGCTCGCTGCAGATCTTGCAGAGCCAGATGGCCTGGGGCCGGTTGTTGGTGGTCTGCACCCCGCACTTGGTGCACACGTTCTGCGGGCAAAAACAAAAGAGCTAGGTGACAAAAAAATGCCACCAAAATGTCCCCAACACCAGCAGGGTCTGTGCAACGAGAGCTTTGCCTGCACAAGCACCGGTGACTCCGGGGATGCCAGGCTATGGAAACTCATCACCAAATTGAATAAGTTTTACTTCTGGTACTATAGAAAAATCTTGTAAGACTTCTTTCAAATAAGTTAGGAGATTCTGTAAATCCTTGAGGCAATCTTGTCCGTCTAAGCTGTTTTCTCCCCGTATCAGGATCTTCCCATTCAAAGGTAAATGTGTCTCTACTTCGGATAGGGCACAGGCCCTAAAGGCATCTTTGAGATCTGCTATGCTAAACCATCAATGTGATGGAGGAATTTAAATTAATAGTGTGTAGGGGTTAGGTACCACTGGATATTGATCTGTATTTCATTTGTTCACTTCTCTCAGGTCTTGGACAAAACTGCACATCCCGTTCGATTTTCTTACCGCTAACACGGGAATATCGCGGGGACACAGGCATGGCTCTAAAATTCCCCCAAAATCCGTGGTGTCCTCCAGGTGACGGGGGTTTGTGGGGCTCGGGAGGGGAGGGTCTCACCTTCTTGCAGTCCTCACAGACGACACAGGCTTGTCCCCTCGTCCCCAGCTGCTCCCCGCAGAGGATGCAGCGGTTCACGCCGTCCCCCAGCACGCTGCGGCGCATGTCCTCCAGCCGGGTCATCAGGCGCCTGGAATGGCACAGGGAACGGCAGGAATGGCACAGGGAACGGTAGGAAAGCTGCTGGGAATTTTTCTGGCCAGGAAAAGGCCAGGAATGGCACAGGGAATGCCAGGGAAAAGCCAGGAATGGCACAGGGAACGTCAGAGAATGTCAAGAATGGCACTGGGAACGTCAGAGAATGTCAAGAATGGCACTGGGAACGTCAGGAAAGGTGTTAGGAATGCCAGGGAATGGCCAGGGATGGCACAGGGAATGCCAGGGAATGGCCAGGGATGGCACAGGGAATGCCAGGAAAAGGGCAGGGATGGCACAGGGAATGCCAAGGAAAGGACAGAATCTGGGGACTGTTCCACTGTTCCTTTTCTGGGTGTCTCTCCCCATGGAGCCTCTCCCTTTCCAGCTTTGGGACAAAGCCACATTCCAGCAGGAAATAAAGCTCCAACAGGTTTATATGGCACAATATCGACTTCCAGGGATGCTGCCAGAGAAGTGACTCCATGGACAGGGAAAATCCATCCAAGGCTTCACCTTTGCATGGAGTAATTCATCCCTAGATGGAAACCTTTCCACCCAGTCCCAGCATCTGCCCATGAAGATCTGAAGGAGGAGATCCTGGAAGGGCTCTAATGAGGACTGAATTAATTAATTAATTTTCGTATTATTTGAGGAAATTCTTGCAGTGAAATGACAGCCCACAGGAGATCAGGCTGTAAAAAAAAAAAAACACACCTGGTTCCTGCAAAGGTGAAAAAAAAAAAAAAACAACCAACCCAAAACCAGTTCAGGAAGTTTTGGAAAGGCAGCATTGGCTGAAGGAGTTTGGAAAGCAGGAACAGCCGGGAGCTGGCGTCGGCATCGTGAGCTCAGCTAACCCAGAATCCTGGCCCTAAAAATAGCACAGTGAGGGAAAAAAAAATCTGCATTATTTATGCCATTCAGTGAGGAATGAACGAAGGAAGGGAGGAGGAGACCTGAGCCCACCAGAGAGAGCAGCCCCTCGTGGCAGCCTGACCCAAATCCAATGGAGCTGTGGCAGAAAAAAAAAAAAAATAGCCAGTGTCGAAAAGATCTTTTCCCACCTGTGGTGACAGCTCCAGATTTGTGGTGACTCAGCTGCCAGCGCCTCTGAAATGCTCCTAAACCATCCACAAGTTTCCCTGCACACAAAATGCCTCTGGGGTTGGTGTTGGATGGCCAGAATTCCACGGGGAAAAGTCGAATAAAGGATCAGCAGCACGAGGAGGGGAAATTATACAAGCACGGAATGGTTTTGGTTTGGAGGAACCTTAAAATCATCCATTTCCACCCCTGCCATGGGCAGGGACGTCTCCCACTAGATCAGGATGTTCCAGCCTGGCCTTGGACTCTTCCAGGGATGGAGAACCTGTGCCAGGGCCTCCCCACCCTCCCAGGGAGGAATTTCTTCCCAAAATCAAACATTTTAGGACGTGCAGCCCATCACAGCCCAAAAAAAAAAATCTCGCTGCAGTCAACAGGGGCATCTCAAAGCCACCCAGCCCGGCCACACTCAGGGATGTGGATCCATAATTCCACAAACGATCCAAGCAAAGCCCCATTAACACATCAGCTCTGCCAAAACCCACCCAGGAATCTCCAGCTCCTCCCCACGCAGGGGCTGATTCCCAGCTGGAAGCTGGGCTGGGTGGGCAGCAGAGGCAGGCAGAGCCAGCAGAGGGGACAAGGCTCAGCTTTCACAGCTCTGGTGTCACCAGACAGCAGATGGGAGAGCTCACGAGTTCCTGGCAGCACCAGGGGGCTCAAAATGCAGCAATCCTGACAAACACCAGCCTCAGAACCACAGCCAGGGGATTTTGTGCTTTCCCATTGCAGGAAATTCCAGCCTAACTCCCTGCTCCAGGGTGGGATGGGGCTTGGAGCAGCCGGGGCTGGTGGAAGTGTCCCTGCCCATGGAATGAGAGGAGATTCGAGGTCCTTCCAACCCAAACCATCCTGGGATTTATTTGAGAGGTGCCAGGGTCCATCCCTGCCCTTCACATCCATAGGTGGTTCCTTCCTGGAGAATAAACCCAGCTCTGGAGCCACCACCTGCCCCTGGTGCCTTCCCAACCCCAGAGCCTTTGGCAAACACAGAAATCCCAGAGACTTCAGCAGATCTGCATCACCCCATAAACACCAAACCCCATAAACACAGCCAGCAATTCCGATTAAAACCTGAATTCTGGCTGCTCCCCAAGCGTTATTTAAAAGGAATTAACCCCAGCCCACACCCCATGGAATGCATGATCCAGCTTTTATCATCCCCCACCTCACCAAGGGGGAACATTTTGGGGGGAAAACGCCCCTTTTATAAGGAGCCAAGCACAGGGACAAACCCCACATCCCCTGCAATCCCTCCTGCTGAGCTGCAGGAGCTCCAAGCAAAGCAGCTTCCAGTTGGAAATCTGCAAGCCCAAACAAACTTATTATAGAAACTGGAACAAATGGCACAATCAAAGGGAGGAGAGAAAAAAAAAAAAAAAAGAACCAAAAAAGAGGAAAAAGCCTTTGCAATTCAAGAGATTCATTATTTAGCTGCAAAAATCTCTCCCAGGCTCTCATTTAGCAGGAGCTGCTCCTTAAGTGGGATTTTTGAACCACTGGAAGAGCTCAGCAGCCAGGACACACCTGTGGCACTGCTTGCAAGCCAAGTACATTTCCCTAATTAAAACATCCATTCAAGAGGGAGAAATTGAGTTTTTCTTTTTTTCTTTTTTTTTTTTTTTTTTCCATGACTCAAACGCTGCTGGGAGAGAACTGCAGAAAAAGTTCAATTTAAAGTCCTGGTGTGAACCTGGCAGGAAGAATCCTGGGAAAGGGGAGGTTGTTCCCAGACCCCAGGGCTGGGAAACTCCTGATAAAGGCAATAAGTGGGAGAAAAAAACCCGTAGGTTTGTTTCCAACTCCATCCAGAGATCCAAATCCATCCCATTCTCCCATTAATAACCAAGGGAAGCTCTGCCCTCACCAGGAATGAGATTTTTGCCTTCCCAATAGCTTTTCTCTCCACTGGATATCATTTTCTCCTCATTTGTATTTCACATAACCAGCCCTCCAGCTCATCCCTCTCCCTTGCACATCTTCCTCCCCATTACCCACATTTCAACTGCCCATCCCTCTGAGACAGACTTCAAAGAGCAGGAAATATCCTTCCAATTGTTAAAACAGGGGGAAAAAAAATCCGGGAGTGGAGTAATTGGAGCCGATGATGGCAGGGAGCTGGGTCAGCATCCCCCACCTGCCAGGGAAATTGGGATTACAGGGATTAGGCACTGATGGGAGGGAGAGAGAGGAGATTGATCTGAAATGTTCCACGTGCATCTGAGATAACAGCAATGAAACAGAGCCCTGATGATGGAAATCAGCCCAATCCCAGAAAAATCAGCCCAATCCCAGAAAAATCAGCCCAATCCCAGGAATGTACTGAAGGGAGAAGATGAGCAGCCCAGAGCAGTCAGGGACATCCCTGGCTGTTCCTGCCCCATGGCAGAGCCCTGGAGCAGGCAGGGAAGGGCTCAGGTGCACATCCAAACGTTTCCCATGATCTATGGCAGGAAAAGGATCCCACAGGGATGAGGATGAGGCTGGGCTCAATCCTGGATGGGACAGAACCAGGCATGGCTTTGGCAGAGCTGGGTTTAGGGTTGGACTCCATGACTTTTCCAACCTAAATGATTCCATGGGAACTCTCAGGAGAAGAGGGATGGCAAGAGGGACAGAGTGACCAGAACGAAGTGCTGATGATCCCAATAAACAAGACTTAACAACAGAGCAGGAGTTTGCTGTGTTTAAATATTCATCAGCACTGCAGAAAGGAATGGCCAAGATGTCCTTATTGGGCTTTAAATTGTGGCAGGGAGGAATTTTAATGCAGCAAAAAGGGTGGGAGAAGGACCTGATCCATGAGGAAGGACCTGATCCAGGCCACCATGGTCCATGTGCTCCTCAGTGCCATGCAGGAAACAGCAGGGATGGGCTCAGCCACCACATCCATGGGGAAAAAATTCCAGTGAAACACAAAGGAGGTCACTAAGAGCCTCCAGAATGAAGCCCAGCCTCGTCTCCATGGGGAAATCGTGTGCCTTAAAGGGCTGAATATTAAATTAATGCTAATTTTCCTGGTGGAAAAGGGACAAGAAAAGCAGCCAAGCTCCAGATTAAGGGAAACATAATTAAAATTGGGATGAGAAATGAGAAGCAATTTTCCTCCCCTCCAAGTGGGCAGGGAGCTAAAGGTAAAGCACCACTGGGGCTTTTCCAGGCTGAGCCCTCACCCACGGAGGAAAGACTCCCATGGAGTTTTTCCAACCCATTCCATGCTCATCCAGGTACTTGCTGAATGTGCTACAGCTGGGTGGTGATTTCTGCAGCCTTGGAAATAAGAGAGGGGGGGGAAAAGCTCAACCAAACCCCTACGAAATCTCAAGCAGCACGACTGAACCTCACCTCCTCCAGAAATTGGCACCCCAGGAGATGCTCCCAGGCTGTCTCCAGTAACCTCCCTGCCCCGAGCCCGAATTTTATTGTTGTGCTGTCTGCACACAAGGATGAAGATGCCAGGCTGTGCTCCCCAGACAGCTTCCCTGCCACTGAGGTTAATGATTTAATCCCCAGGGACTTCCATCTGCTCCCTCATTATCCCCGTGTCATCCCAGCCACGAGCAGCTGAATTAAAATCCAGTCCTGCTGCAGAGCTGCTCCCCTTGGAGCAGGGGTGGCACCCACGGGGACACAGCCAAGCCACTGCACTTTGAAAAGGGACCACAGGGCCCCAGCCAGAGCCAGGAGCCAGCTGCCACCTTCCCTCTGGGAGAGGCAGCTCCGTGCTCTCCAGAAATATCCATTTCTACCTTGGGATGGTTTCAGATCTTTCCCTCAATGCCAGGAGCGTGCTGGAGCTCATTAGGCAGCAGAGCAGCCTGGCTGGGTTATTGATGGCCCCCAATTAGAGATGCAGAACGGAGTCAATTAGTGCCTGCAGGTGCTCCTGTGGCAGCTGGGAAACAGGATCCTCATGGATTGCAGCTGGAATAGCACCACTGTCACCAGAGTGTCACCAGAGCCACCACAGAGACCCTCCAGCACAGAGCAAGACAGGACAAGAACAGATCCATCCCTGCCCACGTGGACAATCCCTTTTCCCCAAAACTTCCAGCCCTGTGTCCCTCATCCCAAAGGATGATCCCATGCAGCAGCTCTGAAGCCCAGCAGCTCCTGCTGTGTCATGTTCAAGATGATTCCACCTCCTCTCGTCCTTCTCCGTGCCACGAGACAAAAAACAAACAAAAAAAAATCCCCCCCCACACGAAGTGTCCCTGTCCTCCAGCCCTCCTCAGCATCCAGCTCACGTATCCTGCAGGATCCATCCACCCTCAGAGCTAAAAATATTCCTTCAAGGGATTAATTTGAGCTGGGTTTGACACCACGTCCAACTCCACAAACAACAGCTCAACAAGAGGCATTGATTTGTTCCCAAGACAAGGGGCTGGTGGGATGGAGGATACAGGAGATGGAGGGCAAAAAATTGGGAAGGATTTGAGGCATGAGGAGGTTCATCCACAGCCCCGGTTGTGGGATTCAGGATTCGTCAAGGATTGGGCATAAAGCTCAAAGGAATCCCTCAAACACTTCAACTTATTGAGGCAACTCCAAATATTCACCAAATATTCCCCCTCTGGAATCTCACTCCATGTGAGCTATTCCTCATATTAACCAAAAACAGTGTTTTCATGGAATAACAGAATGGCTTGGGTTGGAAAGGACACCTTCCACCATCCCAGGTAGCTCCAACATAACCTTCCAGGGATGGGGCAGCCACAGCTCCTCTGGGTGAGTTTTAATGGATTTATTTTTTCCTTTTACAGGAATAGGAAAAATCCCAGAAAATCCCCCCCCCAAAAAAAAAAAAATAAAATTCAGGCTTTCCAGGAGCAGCTCCCTAAATCTTCCTGGCCAGCCGAGGGCCAGCCACCAGCACTGCCTCCCTGCCAGAGGCCAGCCTGGCAAACCCGGATTATTTTGTAATAGAAGGAGCTATCCTGGATAACATCCGAGCGGATGATCCAGCCGCTGTCCCACATTCCCGGGGCTGAACATCCTACAGCTCTTGTTGTGCAAAGCCAACAAACACAAAGGGGCTGGCACGGCTCCCGCTGAGGAGGAGGAGGAGGAGAATCAGCTGCGGCTGCACATCCGCCAGAATTCCCGGCTCCCAGCCCGGCTTTTCATGAATGAGGATGAGCGAACCTCCTCCGGTTCGGCAGAGAAGGAGAAAGGGAAGAGCTGGGAAGCAGCTGCACGAAATAAATCTCTCCCCAGGATGATTTACGCCTCATCCAAGGAGCATGGCGTCGGAATGGAATTCTTACCGGGCTGCAAAAGGGCAACGCCGGGGAAAGCTGTTTTGTGAGCACTTGTTGGGCATGAATCACCGCCACTCAGAGCCACTTTCACCTGGATTCTGCCAAAAAGCTGCGAGAGGGAAGCGCTGCGTGTTGGAAAGTGATGCCAAACCCCGGCGGCACCTCCAGCCTGGGGGAGCAGCACATCCTTGGAGCAGGAGCCGAGCCCAGGCAGGGAGAGCAGCCCCTGGACAGGCAAAACCTTCCCAGTTTGTTCACGGACCCTCCTAAGCAAGGATTTCTAAAAAAGGAGGAAATAAATCCAGCATTTCCCCGCAGCTGGAGCGCCCCGTGACTGCACTGCGTCCCTAATATTTAAGGGACAGCAAACTGTCCCTGAGCTGGGAGAGGGAATTTGGCACTCCCCAAAGCAGTGGGGACTGTGGCTCCTGCCTAACCTGAGTATTTTCCCTGCTAGGAAAAAAAAAAAAAGAAAAAAAAGGAGCTGTGGATGCTTAAAGTAGCAAGAAACTGCTCCTCTGTCAGGAAAACAGGCGTGATCCCAACTGGATTATGGAGATCCCCTGTGGAAAACCATTCCCAGCAGAGCAAGGGGTTGATACCTCAGCTCGTTTGACCTGGCAGGAAAGGAAACACGGGCACCGGGAATGTCCCTGGTGAAAAATGAGGTACCAGTGGCTGGGGGGGGACCCCAGGACCCCCCTGAGCATCACACTCAGCTCTTCCAGAGCAGGATTAACCACCGGGATGGATCCATCACCCCTCCAGCCGCATTCCCAGAACAGGACCAAACTCCTCCATGCTCAGTGAGCTGCTACCAGTGATCCGTTTTCCACTGAAATAAAAACCCGGGATGAGAGCAGAGCGCCGGGCTCCAGGGGAGCAGCACCCCCGACACCTCTCCATGTTTTTTTTGGTGGGGAGCAGCACCCCTGACACCTCTCCACGGTTTAATTTACCCCCGGAGGCACCGGAGCCTCTCCCATCCCTGCGCGCAGGTTCCTGCTGGCCGAGACCCAAAGATCCCCCGCAGGCTCCTTTCAGGAGAAGCACCGCAGTGCAGAGGCTGCTGCCCAGGAAAGCAGCCAAGCAAAGCCTCCTCGCGGGGTCCCTCTGTCCCTCTGTGGCCGTCCCTGGGTGTCACCAGCTCCTCCTTACCCGATGCGCTCCTGCTCCATCTCCTCCATCTTCTCTGCGCGGGCGATCACCCGGTTGATGATTTCCTTCTCCTCGTCCGTCAGCTCCTCGCCCTTGCGCTGCCGCTCGGGCTGTGCTGCCCAGCCCGCCGGGAGCCTGCGGGAACAGCGAGCCAGCCATGGAGCCATTCCCAGCCCTGCCTGTGCCCAGGAACCAAATCCCAAACCCCAAACCCAGCCCCCATTCTCCCGATCCCCTCCAGTGAGCCCCCACGCTGATCTCCATTTTTAAGGGGTTTCGTATGGAAATATTGGTTTGATATGCAGGGGAAACTCTTTTTCAGGAATATTCCCATTATTTCCACTTTTCCTGGAACACCAGGTCTGCCCGGTAGCCGCGGGACCGGGGCGGTGGCGCAGGAGTGGGTGGCTTTTTTTTGGGAACATTTCTCCAAGCATGGGAGTGTTTCTCCCTCTAACATCGTTCCCAAAAATCCTCTCTCCCTGCCTGGGCGTCAGGCAGCGCTAACCTGGTGACAGGGTAACGTCTGCCACTCAGGGGTGCAAAAAGAAAACATTCCTCACCTTCCTGCTCATCCAAAAACCTTTCCTGACTCTTTTCCCCTCTGCATTGAACAGACCCACACGGCCTTGAGCTTTAAGTTCATTAAAACTCTGTCCAACACTTCCCGAACTTTTTCATTTTGCATCCTAACCCAGCTTTTTTTCCTGTTCTCAGACCATCAAAGCAGCAGGAAAAGAGGAATAAGTGAAAGATAAAAGTAAGGGAGATACTTACTGCTCCTTCTCACTGCTGGGAAGCACAGGGAAAGACAGAGAATAAGGATTAGGAGAGAGCAGGGATGAGGAGAGCCCAGCCAGTGACACCTCCCAGCTCGGGGTGACAGTCCCCAACTCCTGGTCCCCACTGCTCCCAAGGAGAGACTCCACACCTCCAGGCACCACACCCAGCCCCGTCCGAGCTGGAGATGTGCTCCAGAGTGGATGTGGCATCACCTCGCAGGGTGACAGGACAGAGGGACGGCACCAGGTCCCTCCCCACCACCTCGCTCAGGGGGTTTGGGAGCGAACACACCAAAAAGTCCCCATCCAACAGCACTGAAGCATCTCCCGTGGGTGGAAGCTGCGTCACCGCCCACGCTGGGCGCTGTCCCCGTGCCCTGCTGTCACCTGGCTCGGAGGGACATGGTTCTGTCACTGGGGCACATCCACCGGTCAGAGGAGCCGCCCAGCACCGCGTCGGTCATCGCCGGCCACCCCGGGCATGAATCTGGGGACACCAGAGCCCCGCCGACCGTCCCCAACCCAGCACAGCAGGGACCTCAATCACTTCAATCCCAGATGCCGATGAAGAAGTGGAGCTTCCAGCCAGGCTGTAGGGAAAACAAAACAAAACAAATCCCTAAAAATCACACTGGGACAGGTTTTGTTTGTGGGGTTAAGAGGGTTTGGAGCACTTTAGTGGCTGGATATTGAGACACAGGAGCCTCCTTCCCATGAGGGCAGCACAGCCTGGATGTAATTAATGAATGCCCAACTTCACATTAATTATGAGGTTTTAGGGCCAGGAGGGAAGAGGGGCATCCATTCCAGAGAAACAGCTACAAATAAGGAAAATTTCTCCCCAAATTCCAGCATGCTTCACTCTCCCAAACCACATTCCCTCTGGAAAAATTACCTCCTCCTTTTGAACCTCCAAAACCCAAAGTTTTTGCCAGGTGGATTCAGGAGGGAAAACAGCACCAGGACTCAAACAGGAGGGTCTGTCCACTCCTCTCCAAAGGTTCATCCAGAAAGGGTTCTTCAAACCCTTCTTAAAAAACAAATGGATGTTGAATCTACAGCCTGATTGTTGCTTTATTCCCATTTTTGGGAGGGATTTTGCCCCTCCACCCACTGCTCCTACTCACTGCAGAGGGATGGGGACGGATGGATCCATTCATCCATCACTTCTTCTGAGGGAAAACTGGGGATGTGACAGATTTGCCTGCAGCAGAGCTAAAAAATTCACAAAAAATCCCTTTGCAGAGCTCAGTCATGGACAACGAGGCTGCTCCCAGCCCATGGATCATTCACCTTTCCGTCCTGGGATGATGCTGCCTTGGATTCCTCCCTGCCTAGAAGGGACCTCTCATTTCCTCTCATCCCACCAGGTCCCAAAACCAGCATCCCAGCTCTGCCCAAACTGGTAAATGCACCTCTGTAGGGCATGAAGCAACTCCAGAAAAACTCCAGCAGAGAAACAGGGGAGATTACACCAAGGAAATTATGGAAAACGGGAGCTTGCAAAACTGCCCCATTGAAATCACCAGCTCCAAGCCAGGAAAAAAAACCACCCAACTTTCCCAAGAAAAAAGAGGGGAAAAAACACTCTGCAGTATTGCAGGGGTTTTTCATCACTCCCTGAGGAGTCAGTGGAGGCTTGAGGCTCACCTTGGCTCCATGGAAAACTTGGGGATGTGAAAAAGTATTTTTGGAAAAGCAGGAGAAGTGAGGCACGTGGGTAATTAGTGCTCTGCTGGTTCACACAGCGTGCCAAACCAGAAGGCTCCGATTAACAAGGTCACTTAATGAAGCAAATTGTTCATTTAAGTCCCCCCCGCACCACCTCCACAATCTGCAGTGCAGCAGAGAATTCCCGCTGGGAATGAAGAGTCCTGGCACAGCCGGGGGGTCCCGGGGTGGGCACAGATGGAAGGGGGCAGCACCACGATGCCACCACTCATTTCTGGTGGATTCGGGACTGTCCCAAGGTCACACGGGGCAGGAATGTCCACTCCAACCCCACAGCTGAGGAAAAGAGGAGAAAACTCCCGGTTTTTCCTAGCAAAGAGGGATCAGGAAGGAAAACTCTTTTTTTCCCAACTGGAACTTTCTGCTAATAGCAGTGAGCGTTCTGCTTTGCTGCAGGGCTGGTTCCTGGAGGAATACACAATCCCTTTCTCCTCCTATAAATAATAGATTTGGAAAATCTACTTTGCATTACTTCCAGCAACTACCCCCGCTTGCCCTAATGCTTTCTCCAGCATTTTTAGTGCATGGGAAAGAGCAAAATAACAGCTCAGGTTGGCTTTTCCCCCCTTCCCTGCCAAATCCTGGCTCCAGAGCACCAGGATGTGGCCATCCAAGCGGGGATCGATGGGATGCAGCAGCATTTCCTTAATGAAATGGAAATATCCCAGCCTAGCAGAGTGCCAAGACCTTCCAGGGTTTGGCTGACCCCGGAGGGTCCCGGATCTGCTGCCCTGGGGTGGGTGGGGATGTGAGGAGCTGTCTCATCCCGAGGTTTTCCGATGGGGGCTGGCAGCTCCCGCCGGCACCAACGTGGCACATCCTGGGCAGAGCCAGGAATAGCAGTGAGGTCTTAATTTCTGCCCTTAAGGAAGAGCCACATGACTCCAATCACGCCGCTCCATTACTTCTGTGTGACGGAGCCCGTGGGTTTGGTGATGCTTTAATAAAGCGGGATTGAGAAGCTTCCGTGGATCCCTGTGCCCGAGCTGCCGGCTCGTGGGCTCACCTCCAGCACCCAAAATCTGGCAGGTGCAGTGTCAGGAGCTGGCAGGTCCCATTCGCCCTCCAGCAGGTGTGGGAGGGCTGGAAAAGCAGCGGGATCCCCATGGAATGAGCCCATCCCACCCCACAGCGCTGCAGGGCCCAGGGCCACCCACAACCCCAACACCTGCAGAGAGCCCGGCACAAAGGGCACCCCCCGAGCCACCTGGAAATGCCAAACCAGGGGAGGAAGAGAGAAAATCCCATCTTTTCCAGGCTCCCAGGGCAAGGGGGAGGTTTTTCCAGCGAGCTCCACACTTGCCAGCCGATGCCTGCAGAGATTGTCTCCAGCAGCAGACACTGACACAGGCAACCTATTTCTCCCTCCAGCCTCCTGAGCTCTGCAATGCAGCTTTCTTAAATATTGAATAAGTCTGCTGCTCTCACCACCTGCCAGTGCCAATGATGAGGTAATTTTTCCATTGACAAAGCCTGATGTGATTAATCCGGGTGGAAAAATGCAGATTTTGGAGATCATCCACTCACCTGGAACACGGAGCAGCAGCCAGACCCCGACCAACCAACCCAAGCTGCTGCTCCGGTGCCAAGTGGGAGATTGTTGGGTGTCATCACCAAGCAGGAGGTTTGGAAGTGGAATGGATCCAAACCGATTCTCTGTTGGGATGGTGGGGTTTGCATGTTGGCACCGGAGCAGCTCCACAGCTGGAGCTGGGGATGGAAAGATAAGGGGTGAGGATGGAATTGGCTGATGGGGCTCATTTTGGGGTGACAAGGACCCACTGAGATCCCCTCAGATGAGCAGTGTGAGGAGAAAATGCCAAAGCTGGGATGAGCCAGGATGGAATTGTCTCCTCACCACTCAGGGCACACATCCCAAAACACCAAATTTGGCAGGAAACCTCTCCCAGCTCCTGGGGACATTTCCAGCCATCCCCCAAGTCCATCAGGATCAGATCCTGCCCTGCTCCATGCCTGGCACTCAGGAAGGGCTGCAAACCACAGGGAATTCCAAATCCTGGCACAGACACCACACCCCACATCCAGCTGTGCCCTGAGCATCTCCCAACATCCAGGATCATCCTTTCCCTGCAAAAGGAGTTTGCCCACTGCACATCCCACGCCATTCCCTATGGAACACGTTCATGGCTATAGGGACAGGCAGCAGATCCTCACCATCCTCTGACTCCAGGCAGGATTTGGTACTGCTGGATTCACCTGCAGAGGGAGGGAAAAGGGAAAATATCCCCCAAAATATCTGCAGGAGCAGCTGTGTGACACTGCAAGGTGATCGGCAGCTCCCAGGGAGGGGCAGGAGGGCAGCCCAGCCCCGTAGGGTCCCAAACACTCCCTCAAATCCCAACATTCCGTCATTTGTCTCATCCCACGTGCAAATTCTTTTAGAAAGTTCGGGCAAAATTGGGCAAGCTGCCCAATGGATGGTGCTGAGGGAACAGCCCACGGGCCAGGCTTTCCTTCAAAGGCTGGAAGGAGGGAGGCAGAGCTGAGCTGCTGGGGCTGGAGCTGCTCCCGGACACCTGGACAAGGGACAGGACAATCCCAGAGGGAGCTGCGGGTGACACAGCCATGGCTGCGTGTTCCCACGTCCTCCCCCAGCCACGGGATGGGATCAGATCCTTGGTGTGCCCCACGGCGGCTGAGGGGTCTTGGGAATGCAGCTTTTGGGAAAAACCCAGAGCCAGCCCTGGGGTCAGCACATCCTTCAGCCCCACAACTTCCCGGGTCAGTGGGGTACTAATTAGTTAATTAAAGCTCAATTACAGCCACAGTCCACAGGTGACAGTGACAGACCAGAGATAGGAAAAGCAAAGCCATGCCTCCACTGCCCTCCCATTAAATCCACACTACAACTCCTGGAATTTTTTGGGAACATCAATTCCTTCTGGCTTGGCTAATGCCACTGCTGCCTTTAAATTCCCACAAGGTGCTGAGAACTGCCTTTATTCCACTCCCCCTGAATTCCCAGCTCCCCATCATCCTCCAGACAAAGCTGCATCCCAAGGCAGCTGAGCAGCAGCTCAGTCAATTTTATTTAAGCAGCACGTTGACATTTCCTCCAGCAGCTCCCTCTCAAACCAAACACTGTTAGGATGCTGTCACAAGGATTTACTCCCCTTGATTAATTACAGGAAAGACAATGGCAAAAAAATTTAAATAAATGACTCCTAGGTGTATCCAACTCACCCAGGGCTGCCAGAGGGGCAGATCCAGGTGAGGTCTGAGCACACCCTGAGCCCACCCAGTGCTGCCATCGCTCCTCAGGAGCTGCTTAGCAACAGAAAGATCCTGCACGGCTCGAGCACAGGGAGCTGGCATCAAACCCTCGATGCCAGGGCCAGGGAGCACGGCCAGAGCCCCCCAAATCCCAGCTGGGATCCAGCGCTGGGCCCCTCACACAGGGACAGTGACAGCGGGAGGTTTAGCCATGGGAAAAGGCTGGGAAGCGTCAGCCAGGTGAGCTCGGAGGTGGCAGGTCCTGCTGGCAGCCTGGGGAAGGTGACAGACCCCACAAGGTGCCCCAGGGAGGGTGGAGGGCTGCGGTGTCACCCTACAGGAGCAATAGCAGGGGTGGCAGCTCCAGAGGTGCCACGCAGGGCCAGGATTTTCTCCCCTTGATTCAGCACAGTGTGACAGTCCCCAAAGGCCACGGGCAGAGAGGAGCACACGGCCACCAGCACGGGGTCTGCACCAGCCTGGGACACTGTGGGCTCCC